GAAAAAAAAAAGAAAAAAAAATCCCTGTCCCACTCTCTTCAGGTCATACAGGATAGGGTCTTACACGGTTCACATCAGTTCAGAGCCCAGGCTCAAACATGTCTGTGCTGCTACAGAAAAATGAAATATGTACCAGCCCCCAGAATGCAGCTGAAAAGGACTTCACAGTTGAAGCCTAAAAATGCAACCTCCTCTTCTTTGGTACTTTATTAATTACATGGGCTACTTCACAGCATGTAGTGTCACCTAAACTTTTCTGGGTCTCCATCTAGCTTGTTTTTCACAGATGGCTACACTCCCTTGCTAAACTTTTATTAATCACCCAATAAAAGCAATACAGTTCCACATGCTATCTGTAGACTATGAACTGTGGCCCCTCAGTCACTGGCATCTGTCCCGAGGTTGAAAGGTTGGCAACCACACAGTGGTGAGTTCTACCTAGAAGAAAGTGCATGTTCAGGGACCTCAGCGGCCATCCCCACATTCTTTTGACCCCACTTCAACAACCATTATGGTTCCAAGTTACCCTAATAGCGTAATTTATATGCATGCTTTGAAAGTGACTAATCCCTTGAGTGGTTGTTTGTTCCTAGTATCAGGGAAAAGAGGAGAAAATTACAGGGCTGCCGTGCTGGGCTCTGTGAGACACAGGCTCTTCTTCTAATAAGGTATATTGGTCTTTGGCCATTCTCTAGCTAGAGAAACACCCCCTGAATGTGTGCAGTTCAACGCATTATGCTGACTGTAGACCGTGACACAACAGAGGTGTTTCTCCCCAAGAAAAGCAAAGGACAGCCTATAGCTTGTTCCACACAAATCAGCTTCCAAGCAAACTTCACGGCAAGCGTATCACACAGCTGTATACCTCCAGGCAATCATGGAAGAGGATGGAAAGACACGTGCAATGGACAATCTGCAGGTGTTGGCGACAGCCTCCAGTGTTAAAGTATGTAGTGATTATTTTGCTTAATTTTTGCTAAATTCAATTTATGGACATGGATTTAATTGTTTATCTTTTACCATCCCAGTCCTTCCTTCGGACAAGAGCTTACACTATTAGGCACAATCTGCTATTTTAAACAAGATTTTACATTAAACTCAGAGCAGAGAAACAGCTTCATTAATTTTTCCATCTGCTCTCTTCAGGCTTGCTGGCTTCCATGTAACATTTAACTTTTGTATGAACCCAAAATGCCAAAAGCTAAACTGAGCTCAATTCTATTGTGCGTCACAATCTGACAGGGGAATAAGATAGTTGTTTGCCTCAGACTTGGTAGAGGAACAGGATAGGATCTTGGTCACTGTTCATCAAATATTATTTTTAACCAAGAAAAAGAGAGAATATTGGTAAATGTAATTTTCCAAATGCGCCATTGTGTGTTGGAGGCAGCCATGGGACCACCCATTGATGTCGCAGTCTCCCAGACCAAGCTATGAGGTTCTAGGAATTTGGCAATATTTGTATTTCTAGGCAAATCCGCCCACCTTTATATCAATTTAAGTTCAACTTTTGGTTGAGCTTGTTAATCTGTGTCTAAACCTGGTACCTTGTGAGTTATCCCATCCAAGCAGGAGATGACAGCATAGTGTTAACTATCCACCCGCTACCTTTTCCCAAGCAAGAGGAAAGCAAATTATTGACAGTTAGTATTTAAATAATACAAAAGATGAAATAAACAGAAAGTAGCTAGAAAAATCCTCAACTCTCAAAAAAAATGAGGCCCTGAAACTGCAATGTAACATGGATTTGATTACTGTAAAGCATTTCCAAAGGTTCTTAATGCACAACAGGCTGTGCCAGTCCCAGACCTGTGAAGTGGGGGTAGAGAGGCCAAGCCAGCACATTCACCAGAGCAGCTCACAGCCAGCAAGAACCAAATGGCAGAGGCTTGCTGTCTCGCCAGCGAAGAAGCAAAGCGCAGTCAGGGGATGTTCCGACCTTCTTTCCAGCATATTTACATCTCGGTGTGGATGGAAAGGAGTCTGGGTTTGAGGTTCGGTCAGAAACATTTAGAGCTTTCAGGTTTTTATACATATAAACATGGAACCATCATCCATGTTTTAGATGATGGCTTCTATTGCTCTAAAGGGCTCACTCCAAAACAGACCTTACACACCATTTCTTTTCCTGAATGAAGGGCAGCTCTCACGCTTACGAAGTCCACCAAACTTTTACCTGATCTTTAACATGCTAGCAGAGCTTTGTGTTGTGGGTTGATGTAAACACATGGATGGCACGTGGACGTAACAAACGGACTGTAAGTACAGAACTTAAGGTAATGAAAAGAGAAGAAAAACGCAGATGCTTGTGTAGCACATACAGCCTGAAAAGCTGCCCAGAGAAAAAGGCAGCAAGCTAAAAATAAGCGCCTTATAGACCAGGCACTACGCAAGGACTGCCAATCACAATGTGGTTTTCTACACGACATCCAAACACCAGCAACAAGAATATCTAAGAACACGAACAGCTGTTACATCGCTATGAGCCTCCATCTGATTTCATGATCCTGGCAAAACATTAACTTCAGATTCACCCATGTTGCTCTCCAAGACAAATGTACTTCCCAGATGGCAATGCTTCAGGCACACATGGGACCAGTGAGGAATTTTGTATCAAGAACAGATTTCGTAGTGTTCTAAAACCCGCAGGCTGCCTAACAAAGCAGAGAAAGCAGCACCCAACTGCTTGCTCCCCTACCTGTGACTGCTCATGGATAATCTTCAGTCTTTGACTTCCCCGTCCTTAACAGAACAGCCAGCAACTGTTTTATCCCTTGTCCTGCAGAATGCTACTTCTTGCAAATCTAAGGCCTTGTGTTTTTCACAAAGAGATTTGGCCAACTCTTCCTCTGATCTCCAATCTGTGTCCAGCCAAAACCCAATACTTAAAGCAATCATTGCAAAGACTGCTATCCGCTAAACAGGTCAATCCTTGTGATAAGCTGGCTGTGCATCGTGGATATCGCACAGATCAGTAGCATCTCTCCACCAGGAAACCTAGTAATACAGATGCTAGCAAAGACAGCAAATAGCAGCAATTTATCTTTTTTTTAAACCACCTTCTCCTGTAGCACAACGCTACAACATCTTTTGATTTACATGTTGATCAATTCTCAGTCATAACAAACAGCTTGCTTCCCCTGCAGTAGCTCACCTGACCTATGTAAGCGTGCAAGAGTTATTAGATCAAGTAGATGAATGAAACATTAACAAGTCACCAGGACTGGATGGCCTTCACGCAGGAGTTCTGAAGGAAGTGAGATACCGAAGGGCAGAGGTGCCAGAGAACGTGTGTAACTATCATCAGACAGTCGCTGTGCCAGACGCCTGGCAGACTGCTGCACGTGCCGCTCTCCACCACAAAAAGGGCTGTTGAGGGAATCCTGCAAGTTACAGACTGGAGTCTGACCTCTATTCCTGGTAAGACGGTAGAGGCTGTAATAAAGAGCAAGACTTAAGAGCCTATGGAGAGACATGGGCTTTTGGGAAGGAGTCAGCATGACCTGGGAAGGAAAATCCTGTCTCACTAACCCACAGAGTCTTTGGAAGAGGTGAATAAGCGGGAGGATAAAGATAATACATCAGATATATTTGGATTTTCAAAAAGTCTTTGACAATGTTAAATACCTGAAGTTACAAAAGAAGCTAATGTTGCCAGGAGATCGCATAAAAGAACCTATTACAAGGTGAAAGCTCGTTAAAGGGCAGGAATGAAAGCACAAAGAAACCCGTCCATTACCATAACTTGGTGATGAATCGATTTATTAGTCAAACAGTATTTAACTGCCAAATAAACTGGACACAGTGTTACAAGAAAAAAAATCTAAGCTGTTTATTTGCTAAAACAAAACAAAGTCAGGAGGGCTACTGAATTTTTATCTCCTGAAACTGCCACTGGTGTGAACAGCTCAGTAGTTCTGGAAGTTAAACAACTTTTATTCATGTAATGACTGGTATCAAAGTGGTGAAGTTATTCTAAATTCTATCATTACTACTTTTATTTCCACATTTCATTTCAAGTACCAACAGAAACCAGCACAATAAATACAAAAAGAGAGAGAAAAACCTGTATTTTATTTGTATTGAGGCATAAGGAGCTCTTCTCATTTAAATCAAAGAAACAGAGAGCAACTGATTTTACCAAGTTTTTGAGAATTTACAGAATACAGAAAAACACCTCATGCTTATCACACCAGTATATGATTGCATTTCCTATGTCAAAACTCCCTCTCTTCCTTTAGTCTTGGCACAGTTTTTTATTGCCCACTACCACTTTTTCACATCTTCTCTTGCCAAAATGTTCTATTACCTATGTAAACATCTGGTTTATGTGTAAACTTCAACAAGTAAATGGGAAATCCTACTAATGCATCTACCCCCCAAAAATCAAGTATGAACTAAATATCAAATTAATTACATCATATTCTATATAATACTGTTTCAACAAGAACTGCAGCCTGTTGAATTCACAACAAAAAGGATGCAGAAACAAAAAGCAGATGTGCAGTGTCATGCATTAGTGTAATACACTATAAGGCAATAATAAAAAAGGTGAATATATTTTTTTTAGAATTATACTTGACAAGACAAAAAAAAAAAATCAAGGCTGTACTCTCAGTTCACTTTAGTAGTGTAGGATTTCTTCTTAGCTGAAGCTAAAAGGGTTAACTTTTGAGCATATTCAGCTGTTACTGTGTTTGATAACAGATACTTTTGTCAAAAATACAACATGTGGATCTAAATTTTGTGCAACAACAACATTTTTACTTTTTCAATTCAAATTCTTCATGTGGAAATCAAGAAAAACTCTGTTCCCAAAGAATCAAGTAAGGCTAAGTGGGAAGAAATATTTGAAATTAAATACTCCTAAAATGAACAACACATGAACAATATATCTCTGCAGGAAAGAGAAGTTGGGCAGCCTAAGTCAAAAGACTGAGTTAATACTATTTTTATACGCTTTTTGTTGCTTCTTTGTTCACTTCGTGCTCAAATTGACTAAGCAAAAGTAGCCACGTGTCAGCCTGGAAAGCCCGACATCACCAAAGATTTCCTATATTGTTCAACGTGCCTTTGTAGTGCAGAGCAGAAACAACCTCAACCATTTAAAAAGAAAACTGAAATCACATCTTGAAGTTGTTATAAATGATCTCAAAGTAATTATAGTATCACAGTAACCAAAATGACTGCTCTTTTTTCCTCTAATTATAACTTAATCTACTACCTGTCATTTTTACAAACTGCAGTTCACATTAAAACATTTGCTGATAATAAAAGCTTTTCTTTGAAAACAACACTGCTTTACATCTAGTCAGGCAGCTTGTGCATATCAGAGCATTCTTTCAAGAGAGACATGGAAAAGGGTAAAGGATAAAAAGCTGGAATACGGCTACAGCTTATCTGTGCCTTTAATGCACTGCAGAATCTCAGGCAGCACTAGAGACAGCAAGTTTCTTCAGATGATCCATAAATACTTGCAAGCTGACATCATCAGTAAGAATAGGTGCTCCAGATTCCTGTAAAATAAAAGGAAACAAGGAGAGAATTAATTATACGCACTGTGAAGAAAAAGCATTTTAAGGCCCAGTATGTTCCATTAAACATTTTATCAATTTAGGAAGACCTTAGAAGCATATCACTGCTGAAATCCTCTGAGAAAAAAACAGCAGACTGTACATTTACATAAATTTTCATATGTTTACATAAATTCAGGCGTAAACCACAACTATACTCTCTTCCATATTAATGCACGCGGCAATGAGCTCCAGTATAGCAAGATACTTACATCAACCATACAAAACTCAAAAGAGTTTGACTGCTGCCAAACACTAACTTACAAACTTTTAAAAGTAAATAAAGCTTCCTTGCCACAGTTCCTCTATGTTCCTACCTCAGTGGATCAGACAAAGGGGAAGAGTAGCAGAACGACACAACTAACAAATCATTATCCGTCAGTAAAGCTCAGGCATATCAAAATGGGGAAAGGAGGAAACAAACGCACTAAGGATCTGATTTGACACTGAGTGAAGGTCAACTAGTGCTCTCAAGGAAAGCTGGACCAATTCTCTTCTACAGCTCTGTGCCACCTCAGAGAAAAACCAAAACCCGTATCTGAAGGTCATGCCACTGCAAAATCAGATCACAGAAGATTAAAAAACACCTTTTGGGTGGATTTTTGCAATTTACTTTTTGATCGCAGCTGTAATTTCAGAAATCCAAGAGGTCAAAATGGTGATCTTTTAATTACTGTTTTTAAACAAATCTACAGTCTAAACAAAACAGCAGTTGGCAACTCTGCAAATGTTACATAGTAACTCTCTTAAGTCCTCTGAAACAAATCTGCCATTACTTCCACTTACAGGTGTAGGAAGAATTCCTATAAATCTCAACAATTCAACCTTTTCAAAGATACTAAGCACCCCAATTGCCCAATGAAATCAGAGCTGTCTGAATTCCTGCAAAGTCTTCCAAAACACAGACATGAAAGTCTTAACAAGGATACTTAGAACTGGTGCCTGTTTTTGAGAATTGGCCAAAACCAGTTCTTAGTTAATGATCACAGGACAAATCCAGGAGCAGTAAGAGTTACTTGCATCACTACGATACACCTGTCACAATACACGGCCACTCTCAGGAGGCGCACTAAATTCTCTATCAGCTGACAGTGGCAAGATGAGAATAAAGGATGTTCTGCTTCCAAACCTGCCAAATGCTAAGCCCGAGCTCTCTTATTTAAGAAGCCACAAGGGAATTAAAAGTAGTTGAATTCTGGTGCAGGATACGATTTGCCACCTTGTGTCTTACACACAGAAGGACAGTACATCATCCCCTAGTAAACAAATCGCCAAAGGAGCTGACAGACCCCTAAGAAACGAGATCCCTCTGATAACTGCTAGTGGTAATCCACCATAATTAAAACCAATGCACAGACTCTATTCCTGAAGATGAGCACCTCATCCAACACGTGCACAGGCAGCTGCTGTCACCACCACTACCACCAACAGCAGTTGCTTTACTCTGAAGACTGGGAACCCTTCATTCTAGTAGGTAAGGCAGCAGAGTATTTTGTTTGCTGGGGAATAAAATGAAAACCAGTAAGGTCACAATGTACAAGCCCGAAAAGTACCTGAGAATTAGCCTTGATTTTTCACAGACCACCTTAAGTTTTGTTTTCTGTTCATTCAAAATTTTGATCTAAGGCATAAAATGAGAATTTAAATGTAATAACAGTAATTCGGTGACAGCTAGCCAGGCATTTGATAAGATTTGTACCACTGACCTTTTCTTTCATTTCAAATTGCAAATTCCCCATAGTTACCAACACAAAACAGATTTAAAAAAAAAAAAAAGCTGAAAAAAGGCAGTCTCAAATGTCATATCCAACAAAATCTGAAAATTTCAACTGCATCTTCAAATACTAACCGACATCATAGAGCTGTATGAAAAGTTTACCCTTATTTTCTGAAAATGTTTTCTATATTATATAAGGCACCTACCTACTAAAGTTTAAAAAAATCTTTACTTACAATATCAAAAAACAAACTAGTCGAATTCATCACCTCCTGAAACATGGTTTCAGTGGTGTGTGGGTGCCCTCTCCAGGTCAATGTGGACCAGCAAATTCTTCTGTAGACTTTCAATTATGCACAAAATAAAATTACATGAAACAACCCAGGAAGTTCATGAGAAAAATAAGAGCAAAACCAAACAGTTACACGTCTCACTTCATAATTTGTAATTGGTTTAACTTTGTTCACAAAAAAACCCACAAACACAGGGGGATATTATGTTGAGCACACACGCTGCAATGCCACTGGGGAGATGAACACACCATTTCTTATAGCACCCTAGAACTGAATTCTTTTCAACGTTAGAAGAGAAAACTGTCTTTTCTAAGATGCATCAAAGAGTCTCACTTGTCCAACATGAACAATTTTCTTAGAGATCAGTTCAAGAATTGTTTTGTATTTACATTTACATTTGAAACACAGTTTCATTTGCTTACTAATTGAATGAGCAGGAAACAGTTGTCCTGTACTGTTGGAAATGTCAAAACTTCAAAAATTTCCAGGTCATGTTTAGATAAAAACAAGACCTTTCAAACTACAAGATTTGTGTCTATGTTGTGGATGAAACATAACGAAGAGAGACACTAACAGTTTGCTGGTTAGGTTATTGACTTTGGAGGCAAAAGAGCTGGGTGCAAATCGTGCTTCCCTGACTCGGTACAAGTTTTCAAGTATCTTCACTCTGGATTTCAGTGCTCTTCACTGCCAGAAGCTTCATTAGAACCAACATGACCCTATGAAAACACACCCTGATAAAACTTAGTTGACAAAAATCATTGCCATAAAATTGTTACAGAGCTCTCACTCATGGCTTGAGCCCTGTATGCCCTTTAGCAAAACACTCTAAAAGTACAGTTAATATGTAGCTTCAGCTGTCTGATGCCAGTACATTTTCACGAGAAAATTACACTGCACTACCATTCACCACAGCAGTGTTTCTCTTCCCACTATAAAGGCTGAATACAAAAGGAGAAGGTGGAACTGGGATGCAACATTCAAGAATACAAGCTGCTCCAGACAGTTTAACTTTTACACAACCTCCTTCCTGAAGACAAGATTTGAAAAAACTGACTCTTGGTCACCCGGGACACAAAACTTCTGGAAAACATCAGTACACTGGTACTGGTGTATTTTTCAGTTCTCGCTTATAACTAACTTCAAAATTTATTTCCCCTGTTGCAAAAAGGTCCCTTTGTCTTTACGTGCGGTAAGTGCTCTCATTCTAAGGAATCTGAAGGTATCTGTCTAAGAAGGATGGCTAGACATGAACGCAGCCTAACAGAAGCTTAAAATAGCAAACCAGATCATTTTCATCTGAAGAAATGAAATCCATTGTTCTTAACTTTTGCAATTTTGGTGGTGTCATCCCAAAACTGCCTTTCTTTTTCAGTTTGAAAACTTGGCATTATTACTTACATGTTACAGAATGTGTCACCTAATTTCTGAAATAGGGCAAAAGAAAATTGCATACAAGCTTCATCAGAAGATTCATACTCACCTGTCCCCAAGCATACATATTGTTATGAGTCTGAGAAGGATTCACTTTTGAAAGCAGGAAACGAGCCTTTAAAAAACAAAACACAGGCAATAAATTAATCTCCTCAAACAGAGGTTTCTTGTACTCAGAAAAAATGACATATGTATGAGATATGTAAAGCCTATTATTTGGAGGTAAATATGTGCACAGATACCTACTCAGAAAAGCAAGTAGCACCTATAAATAAAGCCACTCCCTGGATTCTATAGCTATAATGCAAACTGCAAACAATGTTTCAATGCAGCAGAAAGTAAGCTTGGTCTTTTCCAAAGCACTAGCAAAGCAAATGTTAGTATCAATAACATATTTATTAGTCAGTTTAAAAAAAAAAAAAAAAAACCAAAAACAAAAACAAAAAACACAAAGCATAATTCTGGTATTGGTCCACAGACCCTTGCAAGTACTATCTTTTTTACCCTACGCACCTCACACAGGGAATCTGAGAGTCCAAGTCAGTATGGTAAAATATTAATAAATAACAGGATTCACAGATTAGGCAAGAAGCTACCGTTAAATATCTGGCTCTATAAAAGCTTTGAAATTCAAAATGTTCACTTGCAATTTACATATATGTTAGCACAGAAATGCATGATTACTACCACAAAAAAAAAAAAACCAACTCATGACATTACTAACACATCACTTCTGAGATTATAGAATATATACTTCACCATACCTGGCTTCCTCCATGCTCTGTATCAATGTATCTGGGCATCGGAAATCTGGAATGGAGAATTTCCTGGGCATCATCTATTGGAGCTTGCAGCAAGTGGTGAAAATTTTCATACTCTGGCATATCTTGGTAACCTGATTTACGCCACTGAGCTATGGTCTGGGGATAGGGGGAAGAAAGAAGTTTAGAACTGATTCACTAATCTTTCTTAGAGGATACACAGGGCTCTTCAGAGGAGAATGCGCCATTGCTGGCCTCTTTTCTATCACTCACCCCTTTCTGTACTATAGCATGCAAGTTAATTTTTAAGAGCCAAGATGTGGAAGTAACATGCCAATAATAATTCTTAAAAAAAAAAAAAAATCTCTTAATGATTTGTGGTTCTTCTGTATTTCCTTTTTTTGGTCATCCTTTGTATGCTAAATATTTAGTTCATGAGGTCAAGGGTACTATTTACAGTTCTCTAATATACTTGTCTACAACACATAAGAAATAAATATTTATACTGATACGTAGGAGACTATCTAGCAGAGAGAGGGTATACCTAATATGGACATAAAGGAAATAAGGGGTGGATAGTAGGTACTAACAGACACTGTTGCATAAGTAAGGTAACTGCATGCTGGGCGGGTGGACAAAGCGGGATAGCCAATCTGAAAATGCGTGATCACACGTATGGAAATAAAACAGTATATAAGGTGCAGCCAAACGTTCAATAAACAGCTTTTGCTTGAAACCATATTGGTTGGTATGCAGAGTCCATCCTTGCACAACTTTACTGATATTTATCTTTCAGGGCCTGTAGCGCAGCCTCCCCATCTCCTAGGAGGAGGGAAGCTGCCTGCTCAAAGTCAGCTCACTGATACAGGCTGTTGTTAGGGAAGACCTGGAGGGTTCTTCCCCACTCCTTTGCTTGGCAACTGTTTTAAGCTGAGGCTCATTCCTGGCTCCTGCCTGAGCTGCACTGCAGCCATGCCTGTACCTGGCCATGTACCCCCCTGCTCTGGACCCTCACCTGGGGACTTAACTTCCTGGCTTGAACCGGGATCTGCCTCATCCCCATCCACTGTCTGGACTGGAGGCTGAGCCTGGCTACTGTCTGTAAACTGCTCTGCTTGCCTTGCTCAGGTATGGTGGGGCCAGGTCCTCATTGGTGAGGCCTCCACCTGCCTTGCAACCATGCTCATCTCCCTGTTCCCCTTCCCTCAGGGAACAGCCTGCCCCTGCTGCTTCCTGACAACTTCTTATAAAAATACAGAGAACATTTTCCTACTTAAGAAGCGTTAAAGTTCAGTAACTATTTTAAAAAGTGCAGCTATGAGGACATGATCCAGAACAGTATTTCTCAAACTCTCAGCTGTGAACTATTTACAGTTGCAAAGCCGTAAAAAGCAGCAGCTCAATTCCTCCAAGGGAGCAGAGCACTAGCAAGCCACAAGCATTTAGATTTATATTACTAGGGAATGTCTATCTACCTGACTGCCAGGAGCAGTTCCATTCCTCCAGGACAGTGCAGATGAAAGGTGACTATAAAAACTTGGTGTTCTGACTCCCTATCCCCGAAGAACTAATTTAAAGGTCTAAAATCAAGTGGTGAAAACCAGGGCGGGGTGCAGGGAATAACACACTCAAATGTGGGAAAAATATTGATCTAAAACAAATAACCTGCATATTGAAGCTAATTCATCTTAAAACCATTGTAACAAGCAGGACCGAAACAACAAGTCATGTCAGGTACCTGTGAACAGGCATGTTGGGTTACCAAACTACAAACATGAATTAGGAGTCTGGTGTCAGCCATGCAGATGAGAGGTCAAGCATTGGAGTGCTTTAGAAATGGGGCTTGACTTTCCTAATGTAGCACTCCAACAGAAAAAAAAGAGTATTTATGTAGGAAATGACAGATCTTACCTCTCCATGATAAATAAGGATCTGGAAAAAGGTGTCCATAAGGAGAATGCGGTCTGGTAAAATGCTGCTGCTATCCAGAAGAACAGGCTAAGATTTAAAAATAAATAAAAATTACCAACTGATGTAGAACTGAGCAATCAGATGGTATTATCAGCTTTTTGAATCAGTCACTGAATCTTAGGAACCTTTTCAATCACTTACTAACGCTTCATATTTGCTCGTTTTCATGTTACACATCTACAACCCACACAATCTCATTCTAAAGTTATCCAGCTTGATTCTGAATATATAACTTCATGAAAGTAATAAAAAATGTATTCAAGAGCTGAAACCTCCTTCATTATTATGCACTTTTCTAGTCTTTCAAGTACCTCCATATTTACCTATGCTATTAAATTGAATGATATTTGAATGTATAAATATTCAGCAGTTATTCAAGTATAAGATTTGGGGGTTGTGCATTGTTTGGGCTTTTTTAGTCTTGTCCTTGCAGCTATTACTACTGTGCATATATATGCACCAATACTGTATCTAGTAAATTTATGACTTATGCACGCAATGATTTAGGAAATCTAATGTAATATTTAAGGGTTTAATTCATCTTTTTAAGGGCAGTGACACTATATTGGCACTACACGATTTAACTGAATCAATACCATATGACTTAATTGAATCAATCTTATGAGGGATACCAAAAATATGAACTATTCCAAAAATCAAAAGAAAAGATTATTACTTATTCTGTACTAACGTGTCAGCTCCCACCTGATCATGCCTCTCCTTTGCACGACCCATGTGACTAATGGTTATTCATACATGGGAAAATGATCTTTCACCTGTGAGCAGCTCTTCACAAACCACCTCGTTAATTTAAACTTCACTTTTAAAAGTCTTTTTTATCCCCGTGACAGTCTAAAAAAAAAAATCCTAACAGAAGACAGGATAGAGGGAATTTTGTACATTAAAAAAAAAAAAAAAACCAAAACACAAAACAAAACAAGAAAACCCACAACCCAACTTTTCTTTCAAACTCTACAAAAAAAGTACATTTTGAAATAAAAACATTTTTATTGATGTTTACATTCTGGCACTACAAAACCAAAAGCAAAGCTCCTATAGCTCTCAAACTAACAAAAAAAAAAATAGCATTCCTTAGTTTAAAGCATCATCTCTTCACAAAGTGACTTTTGTTCTCAAGACTACACTACATCAGAATTCTTAGCTATGCCTTGTTCATAGTACGTTCTACATTAAATAAATATTCTCTCATGCAATAAATTTTTAAATAACTTGTAACAGTGAGGACAACAACCAACTCTCTTGAAACAGCACTTGTTAACCTACTATTATGTATATATAAATGATACCTCTGGAGGTCCATTGAAAGAGTAGGCATAAAGAATTGGCTGAACCATGATAAGTGACTGCGTTAGATCTTGACGCATAAAGTGATGACGATAATATGAGCTCTCGTCTGGACTGTTGTTAAAAACTTGTAAGAAAGGAGATCTTCTCAAGTGAAACATAAACTGCAAAACAAACACCATTTGTTTAAACTTTCACAGATAAAAAGGAGAGTTGTACAAGGAAATGTTTTCCACAGACTACATGAGACCAATGCTGCAACAAAACTGAATTCCAAGTCCTTTAACATTCCTAACTCGTACATGCACCCTTGCCAGTTTTTATATATCCTCATGAGAGTAAGACAGAGAGATCAGAATGGATAAACCTACAAAGCAGCTTTGAATTAAGAGAAAAATTTAGTATTTCTTCTTCTCCAGTACTAACTGATAAACAGTATGACTGAATATCGCCAAACCCTTCCTTTATTGCAAGTTCTACCGTTCCTATGAGTGAGGCTGCTGTGCTTGAACACAGAAGTTATATCATGTGAACAGAAAAAACAGCATTAATCACAGCAGCAAAGTTGAACTTCGTTAGTAAAATAGAAAAAGGAAATCCTTTCATTGGTGAATCAATCTCTCCACATGCTGAATCAATCCCTCCACAACACTTAATACCTTGAGACACATTGGTATGTAACTCAAACACAAATATCATGGAAATCTATGAAGAGTCCAAAAGCAATATATCTGGAGCCATCAGAATGGAGGAATTTATCAAAATGGGTTATTAGTAAAGGAACTGTTCAAAGTTTAATATAGTCAAGCTCAAGTTAACTTCACCAAAGAAGTGTTTCTTTTCAGGCCAGTATTATAAATCACGCAGGAAAGAAAACAACAAAGCAAAACTGTATCTTTTCTCACATTTTCTGAATTTCTTCCTCAAAACTGCCCTTAAAAAAAAAAAAAAAACAAAACCACAACAGTGTCGTCACATGAACTACTCAGGTAAGATGAGGATTCTATTACAGGAGAAACAAAACTTACACACAGTTAGAGGTAAGTTTAGCTGTAAGGACAAAGCGCAAAAGGGGACACACCACCACAGACAACAGACGTGATTGGCCTAATATCACATGCCAGACAGTAGCTGAGGGCAGGGGGTCTCTTCATTGTGGTACCCAGTGTAAAGCCTTATTTTACTCTGTGCTACAGTGCCTCTTCCTTCACTGTGCATTCTCCTTTTATGCCTTGTAGATACACCTTCCTTCTACTCACCTGTGGATAAAGTGAAAAGGTTTCTGAAAATCTGAAAGAGCTTGGATCATCCTTGTGATATTCTCCAAATTTCTGACACTGTAGTAAAAGAAAAACTTACCTAAATTAAGAAACATACCTGTTCAGTCAGAGCATTACTCTAAGTTTGTTTAACAGACACATGAGTTGAGCTGCTTACAGCCTTGCAAGCTAACAGAAACCTAGCAAAAACACTGACAAGTTCTTTTCATAACTTTTCATATGACTTCCATTCATATGAGGCTTTAATGGCTTTTTTTTTTTTCCCCTCTCAAAAATCACTGAGCAGAGTTAGATGATTGAACAGCCCTGGAGAACATATTTAAAATTAAATTATTAAGAACTATGTATTTACAAGAAATAAAAAAACTCAGAAAATTTAACTTTTGAAAATAAAAGAAATCCATATGGTTTTCTAGATACTTTGACTTTTTGCTAAAAACATTTCATGTACAATATCATTATAGGAAGCAGAAAGTAGAGAAAGCTTTAATTTCTGCTAATCTCATGCTAGAATTTCTCTCAATTGCTGGCAGTTACCAACTGCTGAGGACTGAGGAAACATTAACAAATAAACTGAAAACATAGCTGCTCTTTTTTCCATTTAAAATACAAAATCTTAGTTAATTCTGCATACCTGCTTGTGGAAATGAAGCACTCAGTCCATTTTTTTTTCTTAAAGAAACAATCACTGAACACTAGCCATTTAAGAACAGTATGTCTGAGACAAGAAACCATTCTGACTCTTTTAATATAGTCCTTTTTACCAGCCGTATAAGTTGTCTGTCCAGCCATCTAAGCACATCAGGCCCCTCTTCTGTCTCTGCCCTATACACTGCCAATCTAGCCATGAGAATCGCAGCAGCTTCTTGGTCAAAAGATGCAGCAATGTTCTGAATCTGCGTCTGTGCATCTGCCCAGCTGCAAAAGAAAAATACAAGTATTTGTATGACAGTGAAAGGAAAGACATCCAACCTCGAAATATCCCTTCAAAATTAAGGCAAAGAAAGCAGTGTTAGCTGTTCAACAAACTCATGCTGGAGCTTCAAAAATCTACTGGGTGTAAATGAGCAGCCTCTCAGTTAATCATTCTTAATTAGAAATGCTCCTTATCTGTACAGCTGCCGTGCAACCACTGAAATAAAATATAATGCCACTTATAAAAGTTATTATATTTTTAAAAAATTAATTATGAAAATTACAGAAAATATTATCCATGAAGCTAATCACACATTCCCACACACTAGCAGGTTTCTTGTGCACCTTGCTTGGTCTTTTCAATTTACAAGGTGAACTATTAATCTGTCGTTTTATCCATCACAAATAAGATTTTACTAATGTAACTAAGACATTCACTTAACTAAACTAAGACATTCACAGTAAGGGCAATGCTTTTTTTGATAAACTGAATTTTCCGTCAGATTAACCAATCAATAATCTCCTTCAGCTTAAAGGAAATGTCACTGGACACTGAAAAATGCCTGCATAATATTAAATGACACTTTTAGAACTGTGAAGTGAATTGAATCAAGGAAGCTGCAGGTAAAGATTATACATCGAAGAACAAGTATTTACACCCCCCTGAACTGCAGCTAGCACTCTCAAGTTAGGGAATGACAAAGATCACTTCATAAGTCCGATCATCTCCTCAGTTTAGTCCATAGAATTTCACTCAAAGCTTCCTCTTCATCTAAAATCACTTGGGTTACTCCAGAGGACTCCCCGTAACATCATTATACAGCCACTGCAACCTCTCGGAGAATAAACAGCCCACAGAACAAGAGACGCAACTGTCTCAAAGGGTATGATCATGCCTTCACCATCTGTGGCACCGCACATCCCAGAACAATAGACTGGTTACAAAATCTAAAGATTAAAAGGCAAACATATATCCTGCTTTTTTGAAAATGATTCATCACAAGTAAAACATACTTTCTGGCAACTGTGGTCACTCTGATACGTCTCTGTCCACTGGAATGCTGGTACTGAGTCACAAACTGGATTGCACCACGTCCTCCTTGAGGAATGGGAGCGTTGTGCTAAGTACACGAGGAAAAAAAAAATTAGATGGAGGGAAATCTCAAGATTTTACAGCGTAATGTGAAAATTTAAAAATTCATTACTAGAAAATGATAAAACTCTTTGCAATAGGCAGCTCCAGTTATATACATGCATTGTCTGGTGCTTTCATTATGTTGAGTACCTTTATTAAACACGGCTAATAAATTTGTAAACTGTTAAGGGATGTTAGGAGCAGTTGCTGCCTCCACCAGATACCCTTAAAACAACCAATGCTCTCTCCTTCCACATACCCTTACAGAGACAATACTTTCAAAGGGGCTGTGTTACAATTGCCGATTACATTAGATTCTAGTCACGTGATTCACTAGAATTACAGTGCAAAAAGATCTGATACTACTATAAAATGTTGATTAATGAATCCCAGAAAGTGCCACTGAAAACTTAAGCTTGGAATCCAGGTGTAAACTGAAATTTCAAAACTCTGGGCAGCAGAAATACAGATTTATACACTGCGAACAAGGTAAGTGATTCCAAAAGAGAACAACAGTTGAAATCAACTATTACACACCAGGACCAGACCAGTTTTATAGCTACTAATAAAATGAGACCAAAATAAATATGCAAAGACTTAAATGAAAAACGGCTAAGGTAAGTTACAGTTTTCAAATCTTTGCACAGGTTATACAGTATGCAATATAGCATACTAAATATATAGAAACTACAGTCAGCTCACATAGTTCCTGAGATTCAAATACCTGAAAGAAGGGAAAGTATTAGAAGGAAGTAGCACATTTGCTTGTCATGTTTTTATCCTCTTCCCTAGTACACCCTCAGGGAGCAGGAAACGAAGCTACGTGCCCCGAGGCACTTCAGTGAAGCCAATCTTTACTTGCAAATACCGAGCAATTAAAGCATAAATTAAAATGTAATATTATGGAGTAACTACCACGTAAACAAAAATATCAGAGAAATACTGAAAAGCACTTTTAAAAATACAGATTACAGTATTTTCGTATATAGCAAGTGAAATACATTTTAACAAGTAACACCCTGAAAAGAAAAACTGGACTTAGATTATGCACTGTATCCAAAATTTGTAGAGCTCTGTTTCCCAGTTTCCCATTATCATATTAAAGAAGATTAGCTCATCATTAAACTGTTGGTGTCCATCTCTAAACTTCGACAACACAAAATGGCAACATTGTTTGTATCCCTGCTACTGTGCTTGAGGGAACCACACAAAAATAGAGGCTTCAGCAGTCACATAAAGTAAAAATACTGTGCTTAGTAGACAAGAAGACAAATATTTATTACCTGGTTGACCACCTCAAAGTACAGTGCAAGTGTTGTAGTAGGATTAAGTCCACAAATCTTCCACTGACAAGTACCTCCTGTTCCAATCTCCTGTAGAAAGATTTTATACTACTTTTACAAAACACAAGTATTACCTTGACTGTGAAGTATAATATCTGGCCATTCTAGGCAATTGTTTACGACTACTATCACAAGTTTTCTCCCTGCTCGCTCTGTCAGCTTCTCAAACACACTTGCAAAACAACTGCAGCATTGGACGCAGGAATAATAAGGAAAAAAAAAGGGGGGGGGACAGTTGCAAAAGACTAAACTATTAGAAAGACAAGGAGATGGTGTTAGGAAAATGGAAAAAGCAAGTCAGAAACAGGAAGAAGCACTAGACTTGCTTAAACAGTCCCAAGAAAAGAGGCAAGAAGCACATGTAAGTGGAATGACTCTTCTAAGGCACACCAGTGAAACGTCCAAGTAGAGACCTTGCGTAGTGCACAGTACGGGGTTACACAGTCTCTAGCAACAAGGTAACTGTATGCAGATAACGATGTATTTCAAGTGACAATTCCTTTTTGTCATCCAAACAACACAAATACCCAGGAAACCAATTAAAAGAATCAGTCATCCACAATGGACCCAGCAAAACCAAACAAAACATTCTAGGAAAACTACACTGGCAATATTGTCGCTGTGCTTGTATTCACCGTTAAAAGCATTATGGTTAGAATAATTGTCCAGTTATCACCTTAAACGAGCTGTACACATCTATGTTTTATTCATATATTTTACCTCAAATTTTAATTCAGGAATTTCAACACAAAGGTGTTTGGAATAGAAATTAATCGTGATATAATTGCAAGGCAACAGACACGAATTCGCAATTAAATTTTCTATTACCTCCTATGATTTAGATACGTAGCTTACATAAGGAGATGCACACTTAATTGTTTTTTGGCTTTTTAAACTTTTACAGTAACACATGGGGTCCTTCAGGTGATGAAATAAGAAAGCGTCTCCACCAGACAACTAAACAGAAAAAAAATGCTGATTATATTGAGATTTTTCGTTCACAAAGATGCAACCATAAATACAAGGAAAATTTAGGAATGAAAAATGCTTGATTAAAGTAGGCCATTTGTAAGTATTTTCATACCACAAAGTGCTTTATTATGCAGGCTGTTAGGAACAAAAGTGAGACTTTTCAAATCTAAGACATTTTGGTTACTTGCAGGAATGTTTTTTTTATTAGTAATCAAATGCAAAATTAAGCTGTAATAATATTATTTGATAAGAAAATAAGTAATGGCTTAAGTTTGATGTAAATTTAAAGGAGTTACTTCAGCAGCCTGGAGCAGTTGGGATATTCTAATCAATTAATTAAATGTGCATTTGGTGAAATAGCTATCGAGATGGCAAGACAGGGTCAAGATAAAGGGGACGTTTCCATGGTCTTGTGTCCTCCTGTTCTCTCAAGTCTTTCTAAACAAAGTATTTTTACGGTTCTCTTTGGATAAAAGGACATAACTCTGATTTTAACAACAAAGCACACTAACTCACTTTCTACTTGGTTTCTGCTATGCCAGCATGTAACTCCTCTGTAATAATTTTAAAGCAATCACTTAGTGTACAAACCTAAACAAGTAACAAGGAATCTTTAAGGTCTAATACAACTTGAACCTAATCTAGCAGTGAACTGGAGCTTATCCAACAACAACAACAAAAAAATCCTTGCATGTATTTAATTTAAAATTGGTTAAAAATGAACGCTATTTGATCGATTTATGGAAAAGTTCCAGCCTCTCTTCAAATCCAGAAATCCTAAATCCTATTTTTCCATAGTAAGGTATTAACTTCATTTTCAGCAACGTTTACTTACATTTTCTGAGACACAAGGTCCTTTAGAGTTGAGAGACACACAGGGTCCAATCGCTCCAGAAATCTTTACTTCTCTTGAAGTCTTCATATTTAGAAGAAAAACATAAATTAATATACCACACTAAGAAGAATTCAGTCTTCTTTTATCACTAGTTAGTGAAAACCTCAATGCATACGCTCTTGATACCTTTATGAAAGGTTATATATATACACAAGCTTGACACGTTTAAAGAAACTTCTCACCTGCTCACTTTCTACACTTAATTACCTATGTTTGCTATACCAATTAGTACATCTGAAACAACAGCATGAACTTAAATTAAAATACAGAGAAAAGTTGCTGTTATTTACAAACCTGAGAGCCTAGAAAGTATACTGAATAATGTCTATTTTCTAGCAAAGTAATTAAAATATTCACAAGATGAGATTAAATCTGAAGACTGGCAAGATAAGCCTGTACAGACCCCACAATGAATTTATACTCTATCTCCTAAACATATTTAGCTAAAAGCCAAATCCAATTATTTACATTCTTCCAATGTCATTTTTCTGTTTGTAGAAATTTGCACATTACTCTAGAACTGGGGGTCTCTTTTTGCATTTTTCAGGATCTTCCAACAAAATTCACAAGAGCACATACATGAAAAAAAGAGGATGCAACTATGCGTCCCAGTAGTAAAATCTGAAATAGAATTTTACTGAACAAGAAAATAGCCCCATATTCTTCCACAAGGCAGGATTTGTAGTATTTTGCAAGAAACATCATGGAAGACAGTACCTAAACCTACAGCATACTCAGCTCTAAGTTTCTCATATGACTGGATGTGAAAATTGACACTGTTAAAATGCCAGAGTGGATTCTGATGAAGATGGAAAATGAAAGGAAAGCTGTCCTGGACTATGTAGAGGGCCTGCACCTAACACCGGGAAACATTCACTACCAATACCAAAATCTACGCACGCAGCATTATGAGTTTCTACAGAGACTTTTATTTTACTTTAGTCTGCCTTTTAGCTGTTGTTGAATGCAGGATAAGAAGGACTTAACATAAAAACCTAACTCACATTTACAGAATCGTGGAGCAGCAAAAAAAAGATAGCCAAGCAGTACAGCTATGTCCAAGCCAACCCTAACACATTCGTTTAGCGTGTTCCTAAAAAGTCCTTAAAGGACAAAGATTCCACAGTTCATAGCCATCCTATTCCAGTGTTTCACTAAAACACTCCAGTTTTGCATTCTTACCTTTATTTCTAATGTGCCACCAAATCCCATTTTAAATTGTCCTTGCACATCTTTCGTGAATACTCTCTGAAAGGTTTGTTTGAATAAAGATGTATTGAAAGAGTCTCCCATTACCATGTAGCCTCTAGACAACAACAAAACAAACAAAAAAAAAACCCTGAAGTTAAAAAAAGTTACTTATTATGCAATAATTTAGCACATGGGATTTATATAGCTTATTGCTATTAAAGGCTAAAACTAAAGACAGTTCATTGCAAGGTACATTTTTGCCTTCTTAAAATGGACTATCATTAAATTATTACTTTAATACAATGTTAGCAATTAAATTTTTAAATGAGCTTCTTGCCCAATCAGCATCTTAAGGTCACTGCAATTATAATATATAACAAAATCTTTCATTGGGAAAATACTACACTAGATTTCAACACTGCCTCAACCTTCTCACACAGTCAGCTTACTTCTAGTATTCAATATTCCAGACTTATTTCCACACCATTTTATTTTGTGTAGTTCACTCATTATCTCAGGCTTAAATCTATGCTCAAGAAGCATGGTTTATTTTTATGCTTAGCATTATTCTGCGGATGTAACTGCAATAGTTATCACAAAATACCATACACTGCATTTAGGACATAGTAATAGGAGATTAGTAAAACATGTTAATAGGTCAAACATTACACCTGAAAGAAGTTTTGTAAGTCTTCAGGTGGATAGTCAAAGATAGAAGCAAATAGACATAGATAGAATCAGAAATTCCTCCCTGTATGCAGGTATGTAACCAAACAGAAAATAGGCACAGCTGTAGGAGAAACAGACAAATTATACATTAACGCTAGTTTTGCTGGAAGAGCAGAAACAGCATAAGGTGAGTCACAAGAACAGACAGAAAGCAAAATTAACACTGTAGTATATAGAAAAATACAGCTGGAGTTTGATGCAGAGAAGCAATAGGAGTCAAACGTGCAGGTAAAGTCATAAACTTAAACATAAAGATCCCTAGCAGTGAAAACTCCCAAGCTAAGGCTATACACACAGCTCCGAGAAGAAGCAATCCAGCAGTGATTAGCACAGCCAAGTTGGCCTGCAACTCAGTAGCACACATTCACCACAACCTGCGGCTGCATCTCTCACTCTTCTGGGTACACCTGGATATGTAGCATGTGCTTAGGATCCTCTGTCGTATGAAGATATGGACAGGCAACTAAGAAGGCCCATTACCCACTGACATACCCGTTGTTAAACTGAAAACCAAAGATGCTTCATTTAATTCTACCTGCAGTTCATACTGCAGAAAAACAAGAAAAACAAGCTTGGCAAAAGAATCCAGACTGAATACAGAAGTCTAACCTAAAAATCAAACAGTATGTAAAGCAGGTGGCTATACTAGTAAAGGTTAAATATTGTGGGTGTAGAAAAGACTTTCAGAAAGAGAAAGGACAGTTTTTGAAAAAATACCGAGGAAGTATTGGCAGGATTTACAAAATGAATGAGGTACTTCAGCAAGCAAGAGACAAAAGCTATCCCAGACTGCAGATCTGCTTAACAGGAAGAGCGAAGGTGTCATTCAGTGACAGAGAATAGGGGAATGTGAAAGACTAGAACTTGCTTTCACCACATTAAAGTGAACTGATGGCAAGATAATCTGCATGGAATACAAGACCGTGTCTGAAATGTAGAACTTGATAGAGAGAGCAAAAATCAGGAGCAAGACGTACCTGATAATCACCTAAAACAGGATTTGAACCTATGAACAACAGCATACAGATGGGAATAAACATGACAGAAAGAGTAACACAGGGTTTTGTACCACTCTGCACAGCAAGAAAAAGAAGGATGACAGGTCTTTATCTTTACTGGAACCTGCAGCTTACATATACACACACTGAAAAACAAAAATAGCAACAGTGCACAGGATAAATTGCCCGTTTAAAAGATATCCATGTTATTTGCAACACCAAACCCCCTTCTGACTAAACCCACAATAGTGGTGACACATTTGCCAGAGGCTGAGAAATTCCAAAATTCCAGTACAAATGCAACCATCACAGTATATTCAGAGTGGGTTTGGGCACTTTTTTTAAAAAATTAGCAGAACATTTTTGCTAAGTGCTTCCTGTTAAACAATTTAAAAAAAAAAAAAAAAAAAAAACCTGCATCTTCATATACTACTTAAAAATGAACAGGCACATACCCAGTGTAGTTGGGACAACACTTCATCTCCAGGAGACCAGTCTGATCCAATGCACATGCATATATGTCAATAACATGACCATTTGTTGCAGCCCGATTAGCCAGGGCTTCAAAATGCTAAATCCAAGATGAAAATACAGTTCATAGCAATTTAGGACGTGAACTCTCCTCATCTTCATATTAAATCCTAAACTCACAAAATTTTACTAAAACAACATCAGACTTTATTCACACCATATTCTAATACAAGCTAAAAGACTTTTTTTTCCTGAAGTTAAAATTAAGACTGGAATTTTCAATACTTGGGCTTGTTTTCTGACCAGATGAGAATCTCACTCACACTAGACAGACCAGTGGTTGCTATTTAAACTAGAAAATGGCCCTGATTTTTTCTTTTTAAACTTTGCATTAAGTACTAGATCCAACACAGAACTGAATTTACCTTTCTAATCTCAAGTGTCTATAATGACAGGTGCCTGTGACTAACCTAATCATTTAAGCTGTCATTATAATCAGTTAAGATGAACTCAACAGGTTTTGGATGTAGTTCACTTGCCCAAATGTACATTTAAGATGAAATAAACTATGCCAAAACTGTATTCCTAACCCTCCCCCAACTACAGAGACACTTTTGAGCAGCTGCCTTAGAAGCAGACACCCTTACTCTAGAGATACCGTTTAGTCAAATAAATCTTCTCTGACTTAAACCGAAGAAACACTCCAAGGAATTTTAATGTGAGCAAGACAAAGTCCTAACTCAATAGACTGAAATTTCTGAAGACATACCACTGTTCAGAGACCAGAAAACAAAACCACGCAATTACCACCTCTTTGTGCATTTGCTACTACTAACTATTTTACAGTGCCAGGCAATGTAAATGTTTACTTACTGGTAAGATGACTAAAATACCACCCGTGATAATCTCTTACCTTAGTACCCTTTTTAACATATTTAGCGTTGTCTTTTTCAATGTCATGCCACGATCTTATAGGTAACTTCAACTCATCCCCTACAACCATGCCAGGCCCTTGTGTAGCTGGTCCTCCAATGAACATCATTATACGTGCACCAGTATTAGGAAAAGTGCACTGCAGGAAATAAAATACAAATAAAACCGTGAGGTTTTGCTACAAATGGAACAAAAGAAATAGCTATGCAGGTATTTATCACATTGATAGGATTCTAACAGTAACTGTAATTTTTCCCTCCCCAAACTTAAAACTGCTGTTAATTCAAAGTCTCCAATTTGCCTTATTAAAATGTGTAAACATTTTATTCTACACAGTTATTCTAGGCATGTAAGCGATGACATCCATCAGAATCACCATATAAATCAAACATGCATTGATTATTAAGGTTTTTACTTATTGATTGTAGCAGCTTTTCTGCAACAAAATGATCTATCTACATATTAGCACACCTGTAGTTAAAGCTATTACCTCAAGGAGCCCTACAGCTATAGAAAGAGCCACTCCAGAAGAACGCAAGGGACGTTTTCCTTGTGGAACAGGCCAAGGATCCCGTTGCAGTTCACCCAAAAGATCAGTAAGATTCATATCAATTTTCTGCACTGGTTGCAAAAATCTGTAAACAAATACATGGAATTAGTTTAGATTCAAAATGTTACATAAAAATTTTATCAGTTGCTCACTAGCGATATATTAGACATATATTAGCAATGCCTAATTCTAGATTCTAGTCTCAATTCAGAGCAATGCCTCACCAAGATAATGCAGTTTGTTATTACTACACACACAGCACACTTGGATAAGAAGTTCAGCAAAGAGCTGGTAAAACAAAAACTTGCTGACTTAAGAGATATCACCATCTCCAGAAAGAACCTCGTCTACTCAAAAGAACACAGCAGATGATGACCTATGAATCTCAAGTTGCACTACTTCAGTGAAAATCAAAGATCAGAAGAAAAATTTAATGTATAAATAATTTTCCATGCTCTTTGCTACAGGCTGTCTACAAATGCAGCTAGTTACTGGAGGGCAGAGACTGCAAAATTGTCTCTATTTTTTATCATTTCATCAGTTCTTTTATGTCACAGTGGAATACACAGGAGAATCAAACATCCACCCACAATTTCCAAATGACAGACAGAAGGCGAGGGGAGAGAAGCAGAAAAGGGAGAAAAAGGGAGGGCAAAACTGGACAGCCACATAAGGGGCAGTAAAGCAGCTATTAACAGTTCCCAGCATACCAATCAACAGAAGCATCATTATTTACATACCTATAACATGCCTATATAATGCTGTTTCAGAACATTTCCAAAGTGATTTTACTATCACCCATTAAGTCTTTCCTTCCCCATACAAACTGTAGGAAAGAAACAGGCTATAACCAACAGTCTTCTGGTAAATTTGTGCCTGATCAAAAGGTTCGACCGCCAGTTGCTTGTTTTCATGGTCATAAAACAGAAGTTTTCCAGTAAGTCAGTGCAGTCAAGGTATGTCTTTTGAAAGTTTTAAGCACATTACCTGTTACAAGGTGGTGGCTGCTGCACCTGAGGACCCCGACCGACTTGTGAAACAGCTACTTTTGTAAGCCCTAGCATTTCCTGTAGTCAAATACATAAGATTTTATTACAAAATTTGTTTACAGACTATTTGAAGTTCTTCACCATAATTACCTTGATGATTTCTTTTTGTTTGCCTTTGTTCATTACCTGAAGCTGCTTTGCAGATAGGTCCTTTGTTCCTCTGAAGACATAACTCTTGGAAATTCCTTCACAGCCAAGCTCATGAACTTGCACCATTCGGCCAAAGGTAATGAGACCCACTAATGCAGTTGGTGGCAGGAGACTAAGCGACATTTGCATGGATTCCTTCAGAGCTTGCAAGTCTTCATCTTCCATGCATGTGTCCACAACATAAAGAAATATCAAAGGCATCTGAGGACCACGCTTTAAGAAACACAAATATAACCACATGAAAAACAAATCTTGCAATATTTACAGGATCAAAAATGAACAAATAAAGTACATTTTGCAAAAGTTTTAATTTTAATCATACCAATAATGTCAATGTTCCATCTAACTTTGCTCCCTCTCAAGTAGTAATCAGTATCTGGGGACAAAGGGGACCAAAACCCCTACCATAATGAACTCTGCACAAAAATGCAAAGTTTACTACAGAAGAAAAAAAAAAAAAATCCTTTCAGCCTGTGGCAATCATATAAAGCTTTTAATATGCAATGAGCTTTTTATTGCTTCAAGTGAATGGAATAGTCATAAAGCTATTCACAGTTATAAAATATTCCAACCTGATGACATTCCATGGCATTTCACCTCATAATTTTACTCTAGAGATCATCAGGTTTTTTCATTCTTTCTAAACTAATTTTGCGGTACTGTAAGCAAATACCCCCTTTGCTTTGCGTTATAAGAGTTGGCAAAAAGCAGACATTCTGTTCAGTCTTTGATCTTTTCACAATCTGAATGTCTCACTGAAGTCTTACAAATTTTAATCCTCAAAAATGCAATTTAGAGATTTCAAATTTGCAATTGCAAATGTTTGCAATTTTGGGGTTTAGGTCCATTTTTTATTCCTATTCAAGTAACTTCTATCCTAAAAAAGGATAAAAATTAAAATTCGAACATCTGAATTGAATATGTATTAGCTGTTTTCTCTGCACCAGCCAGCCCTAAAACTAACTCATAATCACTCATATACAAACTTAAATTCAAATTATTAATGAGAAACTAATCAAGTGTCAGCCAAATTGGAACTGAAATCGTTTGAGCAAGGAACAGCAGTAAGCAAACCCCCAGCACAAACACAAATTAAACTCCTGGTAAAGAAACAGACCTAACAGAAATTAAATACTGCCTTTAGAAGAGACCTCTTTTTTTTTTTCTTTTTCTTTCTTTTTTTTTTTTTTCCAAACCAGTCTTATTAGCCATCCTTATGTTCTCAGAAAGTTGTTTTCTATTTCCAACTGATGACATTAATGTTCAATCTACTAACAAGCACATATGGACTCACAGTCATTAAAATGCAGTGAAGAAATAAAATTTAAATTAATTCTTTTCGTACATTGCAAGGCTATGTTAAAGATTTTGTTTAACGACTTTACCTGCACTACATACTCAATGCTGGAGAACTGAGGCAAAAGTTCAGCTGGCTGATTCATTTCAGATATGCCAGCATAGGTAGGAGGAAACTGCAAATAAAACCACAGAAATTAGGTATAAATAAAAGGCTACAACTTCTACGAAAACAAACAGGCATATGGACTACTTTCCTCTGCAACAGATGTTCACTACTGCTGTAATGAAAAAAAATCTCAATGCAATCTCTGAAGACATAGCTGAACACACTCACGCTCTTGCTGTCAATTTTAGTTCACAACTACAAGTTGAAAAATGAGGATTTTCACTTTTACCTTATCAAAAAAAAAAAAAAAAGATTTTCTACATCCTGAATGTTTCATTTTCTTACCTGATTTCTCTGGTAACAAAAGTTGCAAGCCCAGAGTTTTGCTCGATAATCCACTTGGCTATAAAAATACAATAAGAAAAGTTTATATAGCATGAACAATTCCTTTTCCTCCAATGACCCCAGGACACGTTTCTTCTAATTTTTCAAAAACACACTGACTTTGAAAAAGCTTCCTCCTAATACATTTTCTCCTAAATACCCATATTACAAATTCAAAATAAGTGTAGTCTTACACAGGCAAATTATTGCCTTTAGAGAGGAAGAATAGTCTTCAAGGAAGAGGCAAACAAGAAATTGAAGAAAACAGACTCAGCACCTTTATTAGAGACTAGCTGCATGGTTTTAGGGAAATCATTTTAACTCTTCCTGCTTTTGCGTTCTTCTCCTTTCTCAGCCTATGCCTATCAGCTGTCAGAGTCTGGGACTATCCTGAATATGTATTATGCCCTTAAAAAAACAGGTTCCAACTTAACAGCTAACTCTCTAGTGAAAACAATTTTTTCCAATTGATGAGCCTACTTCCTTTTATCTACACTTTAATTAGTATTCAGACAGTTAAAATAAAAAATGCAACTTGTACCTTCATGCCACACAGACATCTTACAAAGTCCTACTCGCATCTCAAGGGAAAGTAAACTTTATATGGCTCCAATGCACACTTCTTTTTAAAATACCAGTAAATCTTTGGGTAAGTCCCAGCATGCTGCAAACACAACACAGCTCTACTGAAATCAATTTCAGGGACTGCAGACTATCTAGCCAGATACACTGTGCCACACAGGCTTCAAAAGGTCCCCCCAAATCGAGTCTCTAATCACACCTTGTAAAAAAAAAAATGAAAATAAATAAAACCCAAAACAAATCCAGTCATGACTTGCGTACATGATACAGCAAGAATGTACACAGTTCACTGTTCACAGTTCACTGGACCCTTTACAGCTTTGTCTTTCCATTATTTTTCTTCCAGCTCTCAATAAAAGCTAATGCTTCAGAAAAAGTCATCTTCTACTAAGTCTGACTTCCAGTATAATCAGCCACTGAAACACAATTTTACATCGGCATTGAAAATATCTTTTCTCCTAAGCAGGGACAAGTGGTTCATAAATTTCATTCTACAGGATCTTTTCCATCATGTCTGATCTCTCACTATCACTCAGTACCCTTCCCATGCCTGTCACACGCCACCTTAGAAACTGTTCTGTTTCTTTTCCATACTTATGTGATTGGAATGACATACAAAACACTTCCTCTGCTTCCCACCTAAACTTAGCCATGAGCAGTCCACAACCGTTTGTGCTTGCGCCAATACCACCCTTTAGCTTAAACAGCTTTTCACCCTCTCCCGTGCCTACTTCCGATGTATGTATCTATCTATTTGTCTATCACATTTTTCAGCTTCTCTTTTGGTAAACTAAACCAGCCAACCTCCTTTGCCCTACAAATGAACTAAGGTCAGTAATGTACTTTATTTCACTTAGAAATGAAATTATATCAGGGTCCAGTAGTTAAAAAGACACATAGTAACTTTTTACCCAAGTAATTTTCTGAAGACAAAATGCCAGCGTACACTAACTCACAAGATGTGTGGTTCCAGAAAAATAACATACCTAATCGTTAATTAAATGAAGCACGTTGAAAAGACTGGTTAAATGAAAGCTATGTGTTAAGTATATATGTTACATATGCAAATCCATGTGCAGAAACTTCTAAGATCTAGAAGTTAGAGCTGTATGCTCATGTAAGGAGTACCTGAACTTCCACACACCAGATCTTCAGCACAGTTTAACTGGAACTATTCCAAGGACTGTTTGAAAGGTAAAATAACATGCACATAACATATGCATTAGGTTTACCATAAGGGATTCAGAACAGCTCGACACGTGGTCCTACTGCACAAAACTGGCTCATATTGAATAGGAGGCAAGTCTGGCCGTTCCTTCAGTGGCGTGAAGAGGGCAGCCACCGGGACTACCATTCTTGTGGCTTCAAGACGACTTGAAGGCCAAACATTCCAGCTGAATCTAACTCCATCTCTGTCCTCATTCTGCTGGATAAATTCCAGGAAGGTTGTCATGGTCAGCTTCTCTGTTTATCACTAAAATAAAAAGATAACCGTTAGCAGAATTTTGACATGCAAACATTTTTAACCACTAAATACTGAAGGCACTTTCACATTCAAAAACTGTAACTGAGATACAATCAATAAACACTGAGTAGTGCTTCTTCAATCCTAAAAGCAATGCATAGAATTCCAAGGTGAAACCAAAAGAAATTAGGACTCCTAGGATGCAGCAACCTCTTCAAAATAACAAATATTTGACATGTTTCAAGTTAAATACATAGTGTTAAAACAGTCCATCTCCTGATCACTTCTTGACTTAAGCAACAAACTCAGGCAAGGAATGATATAACTAAAGCAATTAATTCTAGGGTAGGTCAGAGTACAGAACATGCAGCACACTAACCCTATTAAAAAAAAAAACAACTTGCTTACAAAAAAAAATACACATTGCTTTAAGAACTTTCACTAATGTATTTAGTTATTCATTCTGTTCATTATTCAAGAATCATTGATTCTTGAAAACTGTTTAATCCTCTAACTTCTTTTAAGAATCAAATAGCAAAAAGTATTTCTCCTAAGTGTACTTGTTTTATGCCTTCTGCTATATCAAGTTTTTAAAGAGTTTTCTAACTGTATTTTCGGTAAGTTGGGATGCAGCCTACATGCAAACACAAAGGAATAACATGATATTCCACGAGTACATTCCTACAGCAATGCTAGGAAATAACTTTGTAAGAAAAACAAGGGTCATATTCCACTACATTATCTATCAAGACGCTCCTTTCAACAATTGTTTGAACTCAAATTTACCATTTTGGGCACCAATGTAAGGCTTTCAAAATTTTCAGCTATGCTTACTCAGAAGCTGGAGCACTGAGGAACACAGACATACCTGAAGAGCTCAACAGGTACCTGGGAACATCTGGGAAAAGCAGCAAGAAGTGCGGTCCCTCCCCCAACCCAAAAACCCTCAGCTATACACACGCTGTTCCTGAATACCTGCTGCACGCTTCCCAGTACATTTTATAGCACCTATAGGACAGGTTTTCCAGCAACCAGGACATCTAAACTCCCACTGCCTAATAATTAAGAATTTACTGTAAAGTCTACATGAACCATCTAAGAGGCAGTCTGAGAAAACATTCCTAGGTCTCAGTTTAGACTGGATTAAAATAATGATCAGCTTTTTGAAACACTGGAATCCTCCTGAATTGGGATTTAAATCAGGAATTCCCACAAGCTCATTGACCTTCTTAGTCCTGCAGTTACATACACTAAAGGAGACTCCTGGAAAACTCTCCATGTATAAAGACCTTGCTCTCTTTACTAAAATTATAATGGCATCACACCTTTAGTTTGTATTACAGTCAAAAACTCTTCAAGTTCTTTTAAATTACAGTTTAACTTAACGGTTTTATTCTAACGCTGACTTTTAAGAAAAGGAATTAACAATATCCACAAAACAAAGAGAAGCCCCATATTTCACAGTTAGTATCATCAGGAAATAATCAACTGTCAGCAGGAGATGAAAGCTACAGAAAGCAGTCCCAATTGTTCCTATAAAATACAGACTGACAAACTTAATTCTCTAGAGCACCCTGCTCCTAAAGGTTTCCACAGGTGCTTTCACTATCACATATCTCCACATTGTAATAGAATTACTACGATAATTAGTCTGCCAATAGTTTAATGGTCTTACTGATATTAGCAGCAAATCTACATGTCTGGCAATTGTGTCACAGGGAGGCATATGGGACTTTGTGCAGAAGAGCACTTCCACCATCACTTTTACTCAAATTGCTGCAAGGCCATCGGGCTGAATGAGGCCATTGGGCAGGGGACAAAACTAAGTAAAAGCAAAGGGAGAGAATGTCTGGAAATCATTATTAGTACAGAGAGATCAGAGACAGAAGATAATCTAGCTAAGAGAGGAAAGAATCACCTGGTATTTGAAAAGGATATAGAATTTAAGAAATTTCCCTCCTAATACATCAAAATAATACATCAAAATCCATCAGATGGACATCACCCCTGAAAAATGGGGTACTGATACAACAATCTGCATGAGGCAACTATCTCAGCTATAACCACAAACTGAATAATTTCTCCTTTTAAAATTACCTCCAGAGAAGATAGAGAAAATTGCAACTTAAGGACCATTTCAGTCTTTCCATAGGCATCTGCTACAAGGTCCACCAACTCCATCTCCACACACTGCAACGTGAACGCCCACTTTTGGTACTGGACTTTTCCCCACATTTTACTCTAGCTATGTTTGAGATGGTTTTAAGCGTACAGTATTTTTATCACTCAATTACTGCTCCTCAGAGGGCAATGTACAAACACCAGTGTGCAGTGACTAATAAAGTGCACGTATGTACATAAAAGATTCGTTGGATTTATTAAGTACTTTACTTTCTAGTAAAGTATGTATTTCCTATTCAGAAGGCAGAACCTGATAATAATCAAATCTTCCTCCATCTTTTCTTCCACCTTTTTCTTCCTTTCCAAGAGCCAATAACACGAATTTCATCATTCATCAAACGTGAAACTCATGGTCTGACAAGTTACATTCCGTTTCAATACCACTGTTAGAGGTACGCAGGCATATTTTCTGGGATACGTGGAGATGTGTTACAGTAGACCAGAACAGCAAACCCTCCTGACCTACAGGCTACATACCAAACTTCATATGCCCAAATACCACAACATAGATATTGCCCACCCCAGAAAACCACAGAGAAGTGATTTTCAGAACAGCTGAACAGCAACAGCTCCCATGTTGGGGTGTCACTGGTTTAGCTTTGCTGCAGAACAGGACATCCAGACAAGACCAGCAGTCCTTCCTGTCTTGCTTCCTCCCACCCGCTGCTGAAGCTGAATTTACCTTGCACCCCTGCACGAGGGCAATCTCACTCTGTGCCACACAAAAAAGCCACACCTGAACTGCATAAAGAGTCACAGGCTGACTATACCTGACTATGAAGGCTTGATTCTTAGGTAAATAGTAGTATTCATGTAATTACTCTGACTACATGCAAAAGTTCAGTTAGCACTTTCTAACCATCACACATCAAGTATGTTTGAGATATCATTCAGAAAACTACCCTATAGCTGAATAAATGGTTTTGAAATACATTGCTTTGAAATGACCTTGTTTTGAAATGCTTCTGGAAGCAACTGCAAACAGTAACGATAGTTTCTTCAAAATAGATTATTCTAAAAGCTCCTCCTTCATCTCAGCACCTTTAAACATTTACACACCACACGTAAACATGTCCCAATACAGAAGATCACCAAAATAACACCCGCTAATCCTTGGAAGCCCATACAAACAAAACCAAAATATTTCTCTCCACAGCATTTTAAGAGTTCCAGCATAGATGGATCAGAGTGCCTCATGTGACCATGTATTTAAATACCACTAAATCTGTACAGTTCACTGTGCCCTTTTCTTACATCAAACCTATTCTTTCAACTTATTATGCACCAAGAGTCTGGTAAAATAAGTGAAACTAATAATAAACTTTTAATCATTTTTTTTTAGCCAAAATCAGCATTTCAGATATAAATCTATTTCAGTTCCAAGGAGGAACTCAAATATACGACAAGAATGACTTAGTGCTTATCTAAAGCAACTGCAAGCTGTCAAACTGACAATGTGAGAATTTCATTTTCACTACTCAAACACAGCCGCCCTCCAAACCTGCTCTCCCAGTTTTCTTCACCGAGGGCTTATTTTTTTAAACAACCAGCGTATGTAACAGACCCCCTAAATTAAAATAAGCACACACTCAACCGCAGTAGGACCTCCCTAAACACCATTTTTGTGTGGCGCTACCTCTATCGCAAGGCGGCC